TAGCGGCGCGTTAAATGACTCAACATGTACATGACTGCGCTCAACATCTCCTCCTCTCGTGTTCAAATGGAAATCATAGATCATTTTTCAGCAGGACAGTTAGCCTATTTGGTGAAATTTTCCAATGTTTGAGCGAAGGTTTTTCCGAAATCTGAGGAGGTAGCGGGGAAATTCTTCACTGTTGTAGAGTACGCTTACTTGTGTGTAGAAATAAGATGACATACTTGCTTGTAGACGAGCGCTTCCGCCGTGCTGTGGCTGTGAAAATGCCTCCTCGTCATGCCCTTGTGGAAAGATCAGATTTTTTGCATTTCCAGATGAACTCGCAGACCTGAAATGTGCCCCGTTAGCTTCCCCGTGAAAAATGCTATCGAATGATATGCATTACTTCCCCAGTTGAAACTTTGGTTTTTCACCGTTTTCAGCCTTCCCCTATTGCCGATTGGGCCCACGATTTACTGCCCCAAAATCTCAAAGTTTCATTTTTCGTCGAAACTTTGTCTATTGGGGTAATTCGATGCCCTGATTACGAATATGACATTCATTTTTGATGCTGGTGTCATTTGGCGCCAATTGGCGCCAAAGACGATTTCGCGTTTTTTTCGTTTTTTCGTTATAAATCGGTTTAAAATTAAGATTTTCAAAATCTGAAAACAGCCTTGAACTCAGCTCGTCGAGATCTATAAGAATCCGTCCTAAAGTTTTTTACACTCTATTTAACCTGACGCCTAACCGCTACAGTATGCGCTGCGACTCGTCCTTTGCCGCGTCTGCGTCTCTTCCTTCGCCGCGCGATGGGCCTCTTGGGGACACCCGGACCCGTGAGAGAGCGCAGAAGTGGTTTAAAAGGCGAGTTCATTTACCGTCCACCGTTCGGATTCAGACCGTCCGACCGCCCCTTCCCTCATTTCAAAGGAGAAGAAAACTAACATTCCACTAATGCTGTACCTCCACTAGGCTCTTGAAGCGTGTATATTTGGAGTGAATATTCGCTGTCCAGCCCCTATGACCCTTTGGAAGGAGGCATTTCCTTCCTGTGCCGTTGCACTGATCCCTACGAACCAAGCAACAGCCGCTCTCGGTTTAAATTTCTTTTCCATTTCTGGACAAATTTCTGGACATTTGAAAGATATTATTCGATTTCAATTTCTTTCAATTTCTGGACATTTGAAAAATATTATTCGCACTGCGCTAACCGAAACACATGTGGCATTGAACACCAGGTGGCAAGTACCATTGTGTCCTTTGAGGAACCTTGCGCTTACGACCCCCTCACCTCCTATCGGTGCAAATACGACCCCGTCGGGGTTTTCCTCGACCGTTATTCACCCTGGTTTTATCGTCGTCTAAGTCGACGATCTTAATCCCTAATCGTCGTCCTCCTGTCTAAGTCGACGATCTCTAAGTTAGTCACGCCCCTAAACCAACAAGGGGTCAAGCAGGCTCAGAGTTGGCACTCACCCTCCTTACACCGGTAACAAGACGTTGGTTTATTATTGCCCTGTAATTGCAATAAATATTATAACTTGACTATTGCATTGTTCTCAGTTGAGACATCGGTCCGGATCCGGCACCATCACTCAGTAATCCTTCTATTTATAAAGCGCTAACTTTGTGTGTCGGTTTGTATCTGTATCTGTATGTGTGTGTGTATGTATGTGTGTCCGTCCGCAAAATGAAGTGAGTGAGAAGGAAGCTCATGGGATAAACAAACCGCTAACAAATCGGGTAGCTTACAGGATTTGAGATATCAATGTTTTGTAGCAGGATAGTTGTGATAACACTCTCAGGGCTATATAAACACCTGCTTAGCACACTTCCGTTCATTCCACATGGTGCTGCAGTGGCAGCTGGAGGGCAGTGGAGAGAGGAAGGGAGGATGAGGAAGGGAAGCGAAAAATCTACCGTCATATCATGATTGTGTCCCTTCTACTGTATGAAACACCATTGTGTTGCATACGCGTCACTTCCAGGAGGTGTTGGTGTCACAGGAGGAAGGGACCATAGCGGAGGATAGAAAGCTTGCGCAGGAAAGGAAGGTCCCGGCGGTTGACGGGGGACTAATCTGGTGTGGGTCATAAACAAGCAATCCACTGAACCACCCAACATTTTTGGTGCAAAAAGCCCATAACATCAATATAAGTGGCACAGGTTTCGACAGTAGGAAAACATGTTCAACTGGCTTGTACGCCATTTTTCTAGTGAGCCTTTCAAACTCGATCATGAAGGCACCGCTTGCACTCCGTCGTCTGGTATCTGACCATGCTGTGCAGAGAGCTAGGGCACGTCTGCGCGCGGATTTGCTTCTGTTCATCTTTCTTTCCGGTGTTCCTGTTGTGACAAACTCTGATAGCGCTCCTTCTATTCAGCATCTTCCAGGTCGGGGCTCTATACACGTGAGGTGGGGTGGGCATCCAAGCATTTCGAGTGACTGCCCTCACCCCACCCCCTAGATTGGCTACACTCCCCTGGCTCACGAATTCCCCGATTCTCGTGACAGTATAGTAGCGGGCAGCAGTCCCACTTACATACATTTCTGTTCAAAAAATGCGGCGTGCCCACCCTACTTGTATAGTAGCACATTCGAAAATGCAGTGAACGCTTTCCCTCGGATTTTGGCAGAATGCCAAAGTTCGTTCTATCCTTCTCGTATCCAATGTCCTGACGAAGCCTGTGTTTTGTGGTTCCACGCCATGGAATATCGCTCCATAACGAGCTCCTCCCTCACCGCGCTTTCTTTTTAGATCTCGCTGTCCAGATGTCGCACCCGTCGGAATCATGTGAAGAATCGGATTTTTCTGAACAAAGGGGTCGACGGAGGGAATCAGCGGAGACAAAACTTGGCAATTTATCAAATACCAGGAAAAGGGAAACTAATCGATCTCGTTCAACCATGACTGATTCTGGCGAAGAATCGGAAGCAGATGATCAGAGCGCTGATGCAGAACGAACCGCAGTGGCAAGGTGAGGGAACTAGTATGGTCTCTTCTCTTGCTAAAGCAACAGTGAAATCTAAAATCTTTCAGGTTCGAGATTCCAGAAAGGGATGAGGATCTATTGTCGCATTCGCTCAATACCTTCATCGTCTCTCAGGACACAATTACATTAGAGGCAGCAATGAAGGTCGTCCAGAGTAAGTTGGACTGATATTTCATGTCTCTGTGATTCATTTCCGCTTGGGTAACATAGCTTTTCTTTCGCTCACTACATTGGATTATGACTCTCAAAGTGGTCTCAAACCTTCAGCTTTGTGCAGAATTTTTTGGTAACAGACAATATCTGAGCTCGCTGCGAAAAATCCAGTCAGGATTTTCGGAAGTAACTCTGCTGAAATCAATGATAGTTTTCTCTTGGTACAAACCTCCAACTTTCTCTTCTTCGTGCTTGCTCTCTTCTTCGTGCTTGCGTTCGTGCTTCTACGCCCTATTTCACCATAATGCCAGTGCTCTACTTCCACAGAGTTGCCTGCTTTCTTGATTTCCTCTGAGCTAGCGGCTCTACTGAAACATTTTTCGAAAGTGTTTTTTATTCATGAGTTGATATGGAAACATGGATTATACCAACTTGAAGTCACCTCAACACTTATAAGCGAGGGTTTCAGCTCTATTCGAGCTGTCAGATATCGCATATAGAAACGAATTTCTTATAAATCTCGCCTAGGTTTTGAGAGCGCGGTCGACGATGGTGATTATGGAGAAATTTACACCCATTTTGATGATCTTTTCAATATCTGCAGGTTCCTCCTTCAATTATTTTATCATTTTATCCATTTGTTAGTGAGCATGATTCAGGATGGAGACCACTATAAGAAGATGGAACATCTGGTTAGAACTGATCCAAACGCTAATCAAAGGTACAGCTTCTCCACCGTTTCTCTGATTTTTTGTTCAGTTCTATTGCATTGCTATTGCTGTGCATCTACTTTAATAGACGAAGTGAGTCCATATCTTAGCATTCAATGCGTTCAAGCCCGACCTAGTCAAAACTCTATGTCACGCTGTCAGCGCCGGCGAAACATTGCCAGAGAACGTAGGTCCATTCATCATAGTCAGGCCGAATCACATATACTTGTGTTTCAACATTTCAGCTAGCAGAAATGTGTGCAGATCGCGTAGAAGTTTTGCAAATGCTCGTTTATCTTATTCAAAGGCTTACTTTCCATCTCGAAGGTGCTGTGATAAAACGGTAAGATTTTTGTTCACTACAGGGGCCGTATGCTGAATGTTGGGTAGGGGACGGGGATGGGTAAATGTTGGGGAGGTTCGTCGCAGGACCCACTGGGCAACGGTCGCACCTTTGATTTTGCAGCTTTGTTTCCATCCTTTTACTGTTTCTGATTGTATATTCGCACGTAAATACCTTTCTTTACACCAAAAGCAGCGATGAAAGAATGGAAACAAAGCTGCAAAATCAAAGGTGCGACCGTTGCCCAGTGGGTCCTGCGACGAACCTCCCCAACATTCACCCATCCCCGTCCCCTACCCAACATTCAGCATACGGCCCCAGCTGTCAAGATTTACCAGGAAAACTCGAAACCCACAAGGCACTCATCGCGGTTATGACCGTCCTCTTTGGTGCTGGTGCCATTTGGTCGTCTCGTCGCAACTGGGAGCCACATAGGAGTTATGGAGCTGAATTGGAGTCAGATGGTCATGTTCAGACACTATGTTTTTAGCATGAAAAATTGCTGTAGTACGTAGGGATCCACTGCAAGTGAAGTTCCAGCGAATTTTTTTTGAGCTTTCGGGGTTGTACTCCCGGAGTGCACCCTGCCACTGCGCGGATTTAAGACGGGATCAGAATTGCTGTACTCTTGTGGGCGCCTGTGATTTGAGTGCACTAAGCCTTTCATGTTTCCTGGTTTGCTAGTGGTTTGCTAGATAAACTTTTCTAGTGCGTACCGTGACTTGGGAGTGGAAACGGATGGAAACGACGTCGAGTTCGACGAGGAGGGTGATACCTTCAACACTGACTTAGTTATATGGAAGGAACTGCGTGGACAGGTACCTGTTCACTTTTATTTTCATTTAGTGGCAAATTTTCTCTTACCTACCCTTCTTTTCAAGATTCTCGATATGATTGGCTTCATATGCTGCATTAATATAAATCGCAGCAACGGTGAACCTGTAGAAAATGCTATAAAATTTCTCTGGCGACCTGTGGATGCAAATATCCAATTGCTCAGGTACGATCAATATTCACATGAAAGCGGCAGTAACATCTTCTCATTTTGCAGTGCGAATTACAATTCGAATTTTAGGGCTCTAGCTTCCATCATAGTCAAGTTTGCTGCTCATCCTCGTTTTGCCAAGGCTGCTTCAAGCGCCGAGCTCCGAAAGTTGTTTGAACATCTTCGTCCTATTTGTGTAGATTTCAAACTTGCAAGTGGTGGGTTTCTTTCAACTGGTTAGGATTTATGTTCTAGATCTTTAGCCACAGAATGGCTCACCTTTATAGTGAAAATTTTCATTTCATTCATTTGTTCGAATGTCTATTTCATGTTTACTCTAGAAGTCGCTCGAATAATAGTCAAGGCGAGCATGCATTTCGAGTATCTCAACGATCCTCGTATCACGGACTATCCTTTCGTTGAGCCAATCAAAAAACTTTCGATCGATGGTTAGTTGATAGTTGTGTTACGTATTCTTGGCTAGAGCAAGGGTTGTATTTTTTTCAATGCTAAGCGGGAGTTTAGGCGATATGGATCAGATGATGTCTCACATGCTCTATTTCGTCGGAATGCTACGCCCGCGTGAGACATCAGCGCAGTCTGTTCCAAAACCTTTTGCCTTGCTGATTCAGAAGATAGCTCAATGTGCTCCACTGACGTTTTTTGAAAATATTCGAGGTGTTTTACCATTCCTTGACTACGATGTGAGTCACATTTTCAGTTTGAGCTCCCTTTATTCTATATAGTATTTATTTTATTTTCTTTTTGAATACGTACCAGGGAGCTATTGCAGCCACCCACAATGCGTAGCGCTATCCTTGGAGCTTTCTGTGATGTTATTTGTGGACCCGACATGAAGCCTCGCTATCTAAGACCAGGTCGTGATGCACGTAAAGTGCGAGATATAATGGCTGACCAGCTACAGGTGTGCACTGCTTTCCTACTTGGTGGAGGCTTTCAATCTTACCTAGTTTCTATCTATAGGCTCATCTTGCTGATTCCAATCTTCAAGTGCGAACTCAAGCATTGAATTGTTGGGTTGTGATTGCCAATAATCGGAGAGTTCCTTTCGATTCACTCAAAAAAGGACTCGTTTACGCCGTTGGTGAGCTTATAGCCTATCTTATCCTTTTCGTCTGCTTTATCGCATTCATTCAGCTGAGCGACTTAATGATAAGTCAGCGAATACACGTAAGGTAGCTATGCAATTCTTGGTATTGTATCTGCTGCTGAATCCTTACGGAAAAAATGTAAGTCATTATCGTTTCAGTTCAATATAAGATAAATTATGCCTAATCGTTGCATAGTGTGTTATATTGTAGTTAGATTTCGACAGTTTGAGTTTGACCTGCGAGAAGTTGAATGCACATAAGGAGCGCATCAAGCTGATCGATCCTGGTTAGCGTTTCAGTTTGCTATTTGTTTCTACTTTGACTCTTCCACTCTTAAAGCTTGTTTTCAGATCGTCCAGGATTTTTTGTGGTAATGGATCGGTTCAAATCTCTTGAGGCTAGAATGAGGGCAACCTTAGAGTCTATAATGGAAAGCAAAGCGTACGAAATCGATAGTGAAGACGTTGAAAATGAACCATTTGAAAGGTAATTATAGTTTTAAATGGATTGCGAGATTCTAAGTCATTTCAATTCACATTTGCAGCACTATGGCGCTTCTGGTAGATATGATTGAAATCTCAATGAAGGACACTCTTTGCGTGCTGGTCAAGCTTCTTCACCTGGGCCGATTTAAGAACATCGATCTGTGAGTTATGTGACGCTTTAGCAGTCTTGTTGGAGCTCATTCTTTCTTACGTTCCCAGTTGATGATTTGCAGTAAATTACCGAGAAATGATTTGATCGATGCGTTGGTTCGTGAATTTGGGAGATTTTACGTATCGATTCATATCAGTCGTATCGGTGATTCTTTTGGGGAGCAACTACTTCAAGAAATGGAGGTTGCGTACGAAGAAAATATGGATCTTGTAGAACATGCACTTATGGTTACGCAAGTTAGTTCTTTAAGTCATGATTTGTCTTCGGTCTTTCTACATTAAATTTTTTTAATTAATTCAAGTTTAAGTTCAATTTAGGTGCAGTCTGTTTTTTATTAGAATTGTTATTATTTTTCTCATGTGATTTGTCCTCATTTGATGAGCTCTAATTCATGCTCAGTTACAGGAGAAGATGGTCTTTGCCGAGCAGATGACCCAAGTTTTCCCCATTCTCGCCGATTCTCTGAAACAGAACGGCTTCACCGATGTGAGCTATGCTGTCACATTCTGCGCCACATGCGAGCGATTCGGAATAAGGTGCCCTCTTCTTTATTTGCAAAGAAATGATGTATGTATATTACCTGAAATCCTACCAATAATCAACATTTCAATATAGCTGGCAATAGCCTTTCTATAAGTTCGATTTCGTGTTATTTGTCCCACTGGTGGTTTTCACAAATGTAGTGTAAAAAGTAGTGCTATCTTGTAAGCAAACCGGATTAGGGTGTAGCCCTTCCATTTCTCAGTCACTTGAACCGCGTACATTTGAGATTGGAAGACGTATGGTTATTTCTTCGATTTGCCTTCCTTTCCACCAACCAGCGTCCTCCCCATAGATGCATGAAAACATTATCTGATGCTGTTGAATCTTATGTGCGTGTTCTGTGGAGAAATCACGGTAGCAGATCAGCGAACGTAAAAATAAAAAATTCTTCTCTCTCCCGTCTTAACATGCCCTCCAGAAATATAGCTGTTGGAATCGAATAAAGTTGGCGCTTCAAATTTTCTCAATATCTTCCAGGAATGCGGCGTGTGCTCTCTACGACTTGTACAATTTGGGAAATCCGACATTGTCTGCAGAAGTTCTCAATACTGTGATGGTGCTATTCATAAAGAAAAAGGACAGGAATAGGTAGCTTTGCTTGCAGTAGCCTTTTTGATTTCGTTCTTCAATGAGATTTCTTCTTTTCAGTAAAGGTGAAGTAGATGTTGTTGAGACAGCCAATGCTTTAATTACAAGACTGACGAAACAAGACAAGGTATTTTTTTGAAGTGGGTTGCTATGCTTGGAGGAATCCGCATTCGAAGGGATTCTGTGAACAGGCGATGTAGTCAAAATGGTTTCAAGGGAATGAAATGAATTGAAGTGAGATACAAAAATCACTTCTATATGAAAAACACTACCTCTGCCTGTCTGTCACGAAATTGATACCTCTTGGAAAACATTTAGAGTCCCGATCAAGTTTGTTGGTGGTGTAAGGGTAAAAATATCAACGAAACTGAGCTGAGGTGATCGGGACGTGCGCCGAAATGGGCAGCTACGGCGAAATTCAGAAATCGGATGCCGAAACGGTCCAGAGACTGGGAAAAGAGAGGGTTAAGGTGTGCGCCGGATTTTCTGGTCAACTTGATGACCTCCGGTGGGCGGAGCATGTTTTGAGGGTGCTTACTAAATTATTCAAAATTCGTTCATAAGAAAGTCTACAAAGCAGGAAAATCTGGATTAGAGAAGTGTTCACGGTGAAACAAACACACTCTGAGTGAGCGAAGGAGCACCACAATGGGAGCAGTTTGGCATGAAATTATGGTTCATATCCTGGGCGGCGAAGGCAAGGAAAAGGAGCGGAGGAGCTAGCAAAGCAGGGGGGGGCGCTTTTGATGGGTGGGGCCTGCGCAAAAGTGGCCGCAGTTTGCCACGAAATTTATATATCAGTGGTAAGTTAGCCTGCTAACCATGGAAAATGGTCTAGATTTAGCGAATGGGGTAAGGTACACGGCATTGGTGGCGAGTATTCACCGAGGTGGGTCGGACTCAAATTACTTGAGGTATATAGGAGCTACCGAAGGAGTGGAAATGAAGCGACGGTGTTCGGACTGTGCATCTAGGTAGGCCCAAACTGAAAGTTTGACATTGCCTGTTTTGCTGGAGCTGTCTTTGGCGCACACGTTAATGTGCGAAGCGAAACCTGTAAAACAAAAAGCGCTTGAGCCGGCGATGATACCTTTTTGGATACGCCAGGCACTTCAATTCCATTCAGAATATAGGGAACATTTCAATGCTATTAGTCGCGGACAGTACAGGAGGCCAAAATTTGTTCTGTACATGAGTGTCAGCTGATGTACAAATAAGTGTTTCCCTCGTATGCGAAACTGGCTGGCACCAACCATATGATTCCCGGTGGAGGGCCTGCGTAGTTGTTCCGGTATATATGGGGAAGGTAGTGGCGTTAGATGCATTGGAATTTTGAACCTAGCATGCTGACTTGCTCTCTGAGTACGAGCGATTTTGGAAAGATAATAAATAGAGGTGCACAGGAAGAAAATTAGCCAATACGGCGGTTAGAAGGCTGAAATGCTGTATTGGCAAATTGCGTCGCTCACTATTCAGGGATCAAATTTGGATCGCTTGCTGTCCAGGCAAACCGAGCCTTTCATTCCACTGGGGCTCTCGGTAAACCAGGATTGTCACATGGTGTAGCCTCCTCATCCGTTATTGTAGGGTAGTAATGTTTCGCTCGCTAAAAGGAGCACTCCTTTGTATAGAGCAAGCTTGTCAAAAAAGAAGGAGTAAATAATTGTAGTTCGTTTGCAGCGGGACAGTCATGCAACTAGTGAGCTTCTTTATCACATGTTCTGCCGTAACAAGATTCCTCCGGGATTGATATCACATTTGATCAAGGTTAGAGCGTTGTTCGTTTTCCTGTTTATTCAAATTCAGTATTTGAGCGTTCTTCCTCAGATTATCAACGAAGCACAGCCGACGTTCAGCAAGTATCCGGCAATGGTTGTTTTAGCCTTGTTTGCAAGGTCTGCATTGCAGGTTAATTGTTCTGCTAGCTCATTTATCCATGTCGTTTTCTAGGGTCGATCCGCGGACGATGCGTGAATATCTTCGTGATTTTCAAAGGTGCTTACGGTCATCAGAAGTACTTGTAGCAAGTGAAGCTCTCCACGCAATGTCCTATCTGATCCCTTCTACAGAGGTCAGTTGATATATAAAGGGTTGGGGAATAGGGTCCCTGCGGTCGCGAAAAGCAATTCTGTTTATTCATTTAATTTTGGTATAGGGAAGCTGATAAAAGTTCGTAGTTCATTGCATTAAGAAGTTCAATAGAGAATAGATAAGGTGTCATTCTAGGGGCCTCCTGATGAGGAAAATGAAGCTTATCTTTATCGATTGCGTGCGATCGACTCTTTGTTCCCTGACATAGAAAAGTTCCTGTTCAGAGGTTAGTGTAGCATTTCCAAAAAGGTTGATCTTTCATTTCTTTTTCACAAGTTTCAGTTATTCTGTCGGATGACGACACCATAGAGTCGAAGTTCTGGTATGTAAGCATGCGACACTGCATGAAAGCACTCTTTACTCTGTCTTCTGATATAGACTACGCAGTTTCGAGAATATTAGGAAAGGTATTGCAACATTCAGTTTCCTCCAAGAATTTAGACTCAGATCGTGCAACTGTTGGTTTCTAAACTTTGTTTTTTTTTCTCTCTCTCAGGCATTGTGGTATGCCCATCGCGCGGCCCAACTTCTGGTTATGTATAGAGAGGAACCACCAAAGGAACTCAGTTCCGATTTCGTGAAGGCGCGAAGGTTCGTTGTCTTTATTGAGTGACGATACTTTTGAACACTTCGTTTTCCTCATATTTTGCAGTAGTTACTTCTTGTGACTTTATATAGGGTGCGGTAGAAGCGTTGACCGCTTAAAAAAGCCTCATATTCTGAGAATGTTAATTTTATGTGGATAAATAAGCGAAAGGAAGCGGGATGAGGATAACTTACTCCGTCGATAGATTCTCCTTAACCGAGCAGAAACCAGGGAATCTGTCGAAAACACAAGTCTGAAATCCCTGCTTAGGTTCCGTCAGCGGCAATTCCGGCCACAGTCTTTGAGTGTATCTTCGTGCACTGTCGGCGAAGTAGCAGGCAACGTAAACCAATAAAACTTTTGCAGAACTGTTCAATTGTGCCAAAGAGGAGCTCACATAGCCCCATTTGAATATAGCACCTCAACACAGCCGTATTTCTTCCAGCAGAATTCAAGTCCTAAACAAGGCGTGATCAATGGGTGATCGTATCGAATTCTGGGAATATGCTGTGATTCGTTTATTGGTCATCTACTTTTGAGTAAAACTCATATTAGTATGTTTTCTTTTGACATAGCAAGTACGCTCAATGCTTTCACCGCACCGTGAATTATACTTCGAGAGTTTTCTTCGGACACTCGAAGGGGCAAACCATTGCTTGGAGTTGCTCTCTTTACAATCTTTCACCATCAAATTCTGCATTTCTCTTTCCTTTATCTAATTTCTCTTTATTCCAGAGAGTATTTCAACATAGCTTGGCAACGGACAACAGAACGGGTTTTGATGTTGTTTGCTGATGTGGGTATCGCATCACTTTTGTGCACTTCAGGGAAATATCCTATACAAAAAATAAAGAATTCTGGTTAAGGCCATTGAATGTTTGCTGGTTCATGTTGACACTTACTTTCCGAGACTGCTAAAGCGTGCTATGGCCTTGGATGAAGCTGCGGCCGAGGTTTGCATAATGGTGTGTAGATTTTGAGATTCGCCGCCTTATAACTTGTTTAAGCAACTGGATGAACCTACCGAACCGTACGCTGACTACGACAAGCCTCATTCCGGTGTTGAGATGGATTTCGCCTACAGAGAGGGACTGTTTGCGAGAACTATCTCTTCTATCGCCAAATCCAAACCGGAAAGTGGCGATTCCATAGCGTCTGAGGCGGATTCAGAACGATCGGACAGGCCATCAGCTGTCGATGAAAATGATGAGGACGATGACGACTCTAACCGTTGGTTTCACTTTTCGTTGCACTTTTATAGAGTTGTTTTGATATGTTCTCAAAAATTCCCATTCAAGCCTGCTAGTAATTGGAGGATACGAGAAATAGAGTAAAGTATTCATGAGTGGATAGCGTGTTAAAGGAGAATTCACGATAAGAATGAAGGTCGAAGAAGAAGTAATATGTAGAGACAGGCGGACCTCCTGAGGGTGCGGACTGACGCGCAATTGGCAGCGAAAGATTTGACCTCGGCGATCTAGCATGGCTCACTCTTGGCGCGGTTGGCGGGGTACGCCCACCGACTATCTAATCACTCGCCGCAGGTCTATACGTGGCGAGTGATTAGATAGCAGAGAGAGAGCGTAGTGTTGAAGAGGGCACAGCGATGAGAGTCGCATCAATGCTCAAATCAACGGGCAAGGAAGGGGTCCCATTTCTCGGGTTCTGGGCCGTTTCTCATGGTTTTTCCTTCTTTCGTGTACCACTCACCATCCCTAGGTTAATTTGAAATGGGTTGCTTTTTCATCGTGAATTCGTCCTTTAGTACATCTAGTAAATGGCGTAAAAATATATTGTTATGAAACGTTCTTACTGTAAAACTTGTTACTATTAAGGTCCTTCCACCGATGAACTCATTCGCACACGGACACAGGCTCTATTCCAAACGCGTTTGTTACTCAAAACTGGCGTTATTGGCCGATGTTTAGCACTTGTTGTGTTTTTTATCCGATGCGCAGGCATACCGGATGAAATTCGTAATGCAGCATTAAGAGCTTTCTCAAAGTTCCTTTTAATTTGGTTCGTACCCGCTATCCACATTTTTTTATTTTCTTTATTTTTGCTCATCTTGTTCGTTTAGTCCTCAGCTTACTGAGAGAGCTAGCCCGACATTATTCACATTCATTTGCTGCCACCCGGATCCTCAAATGAAGGAGTACTTGCTAGCCGCTGGCGTGGATGTCATGTATCGGTTCCCTGCTATGCTCGAGAGTCACTCTCTGTTCCTTTTTGAAATGTAAGCTCTGTCACGTTTGCTCGAAAGTAATGGATTTGATGGTTTATATTAGGCCAATGGATGCCGATCCAAATGTGCGGATCACTTCACTGTTGTATCTCACTTATTTACTCACTCACGACGTATTAAAGGTAAAGTAATACCTGTCGCTTACGAATTAGTTTTTATTTCATCATTGTTCCTTCCAGCCAAGAGGAACATTGTCGGATGCAGCATTATGCATGTTGAATAGAAAACGTTCCGATGGCAAAGAGGAAGATTGTTCAAGTGACGAAAGAGAGGTCACTGTATTGGCTACTGAACTTTTTCGTGAAATTTCCCGCAAGGTTAGTGACCATACGTCAATGGATAATGTATTCGATGGTAGTCAATCTTGTCTAAATGTTCTTGTAGTAGATTGGAATGCCTTCTTACTGCTACACTTCTTCCTGTTCAATTTACAATTCTCTGCCCTCCTCACAGAGACTGGCTCCGGTTGACCGACCTTAAAGGGTGTAGCTCGGTTGCTCTATGAGGGGGTGTGTCTCAAGTGGTACGATTGGAAATTTCAGCACCTAATTAGTGCTGCGTCGCGACGAGGTGCGAAGTGACCTCAAATTTTGGCACCTAATTAGTGCTGCCTCGCGACTAGGCGCCAGCTACCTGTGGGCGAGACGCGCCGTACATGTCCATAACGGTGCAAAAGATTGGCGAATAGCGATTTCGGAAAGGAAAAAGGTAAACATAAATGTGATTATTCATTCATTATTACTACTTTTCAATCTTCTGACTCCTATGAGCAAATCAAAATAAAATTGATGTATTTAATATTATTACTATTACTACTATTGCTACTTACTATTATTATTCATTGTCATTATTCGCCAGTATATGTACATTCTAACATGGTTAGAAAAATCAGTGAACGAACACAAAAATATCCAAATTATGTGTAAATTTCACAAGCAACTATATATAGTTATTAGTTACCAAACGCCGCACGCGTTGCGCGCACAGCACAGTTCTGCGCGCGATATAGGATGGTGCGGCGTGAATTTTCGAATTTGGCCCAATACACTTCGAATACTTTGACTTTCAAGCTGAATTCTATCCGATTGCCCCATGCTTCATCCACCGATGGCTTTTGAGCTTCCCTCCTTCCTCCACCAATTGTCCGTAATCGTCACCCTACTGTCCGTTTTTCCGAGCCTCGGACTGCCTGCGGGCCTCAAAGGTATCTGGTGCAAGTGGGGTGTTAAGGAGTTGAGGACTACTAACATAATAATAATGAATAATTATAACAATAATAATAATAATAATAGTAAGAGTAATAATAATAATAAATATGAACATCAATTTTACTTTGATTTGTTCACAGGAGTCAGAAGATTGAAAAGTAGTAATAATGAATGAATAATCACATTTTATCTGAAATCACCTTCCTTCCGAAATCGCTTTCGCCAATCTTTTGCACCGTTATGGACATGTACGGCGCGTCTCGCCCACAGGTAGCTGGCGCCTAGTCGCGAGGCAGCACTAATTAGGTGCCAAAATTTGAGGTCACTTCGCACCTCGTCGCGACGCAGCACTAATTAGGTGCTGAAATTTCCAATCGTACCACTTGAGACACACCCTCTATGGGGCATTCGACTATTTGGTAACACCTTTTTTGTATTATGCCGACTTTTTGTATTTCGTAAGCATCCGTTTGCTCGTATTGTTTTGAGAAATGGGTAACACATTGTTAGGGTGAGCCAACTTGGGGGAGCGTTGGGGTCTGTTTTGCTCCTTTTGTGAAATCAGTACGTGTTTTTGAAGAGTTGGAACTTTAATTAAGAGAGGATTCGGGATTTGTTGGGAATGATTCAAGAAATCCAAACTTTCTCAGGAATTTGGGATATTTTTCTCAAAGCTTCGCGGATAGTAACCTGTGAATACCCTATCTGGAGGTTCTTTGAAGGCGACTCCATCTGTGCTATCAAATTTACCTTTTACCTTCTCGAATATATAGAAATGCATATGCTGGCCTTTCTTCGGAATCCTGTGAATATACTTGCCTCATTTTATTCGTTCTCTTGCAGAATAAAAAGTTTGTTGTACTTTCCAGGGTAATCTACTGGTAAATGTACTCCCTGATCTCGTGTGCAGAATATGTCGTTGGGAAGAGCAAGTTCCTCTCCCCGCATTCAAGTCCCTTGTCAAGTGAGAAATTCGTTATATGAGCATTCATTAAATTAAATTGAATAAAATCACCCTTGTAGACGACTTCTCTCTATGGTAGACGACAAGCCTTTGGATGTGGTTGTTGAAAAAATGTGTCAGAGGTTCGAATTTTGCAACAGGTGGGACTTAGACCAATTGCCTGTATAGCAGTGTTATTCGCTACTACTTTCCGGCTCATCTAAAGTAAGCATGTTGATACTGATCTTCACAGGAGAGAAGCCACTGAGCATAATCGACGCATAGCGTACTATTTTTCGTATTTCATCTCGCAGATTGCACTGACGGAGAGCTCGTTTTACAAGGTATTAATTAATTTCTCGTATGACACGTCTATTTTCGTTCATGACATGTTTCATATTCTTTTTATGGCTCCTCGTTTATTTCCTATTCATCTTTCCCTCTTTCTGCCAGACTCGATTTCTCAAATTAGGTGTTCCTGTCTTTTCAGTAGAAGAAGACAAAGTGGGATGGGATGACATTACGACGGAAAGTACCAGCGATCTCTTTCAGTTTTTGCAGACGTAAACTGTATGAAATAGGGCGGGCCATCTAGTTCTTCCAGAAGCGCGTAATCAGGGAGGGGGAGGAACGATTTTTTCTGAGGACATTGAACATTGCTGAAAATCCCGATGAGACGTCACTCCTTTCGACAGATTTACATAGGGAAGACCGTTCCCTTTGTCAGGGGTACTGAACTGAAAATTGCACAAGAAAAATAAACAGTGGGAAGTTTGATAAACCAAATCTCTCACTCGTGAACACTTTCAGATGCGTGACTCGTTACCATACTTTGCACCATTTTTGGAGGACGAGGTTATTTATCGCGATTTCATGGCTGTGATTAGTCATCTTATTTCAGGTACTTCATCGAATGAAGTGAAGGTGGGTTTTATGGCAAGAGTACTACTATATATTCAATAATAAGCACCGTTGGTCATTTGGCTTCTTTTTTTTACAGCGTGACGCTGAGGAACTGTTGCGTAAAATGGAATTTCTGCACGTGAAATCACATTTAACTGAGGAAGAAAGAGATAGAATGAGTAAAGCAGTAGGCCCTATAAATCTCGACGTTCCAGTGAAGGTAAGCGCCCGTTGCCAGTTCGTTGCACTATACATTTGTTGGTTTTAGCTTGATAAAGACGGGAACCCGATAATGTTCACCTTCGCTGACTGCGATGAGCCAATTGAATACGACAACATCTAGAAAGGGTTTGGAGCTGCACGTACTACAATCTTGATCTCAAGAGCTCTTTCATAAATCACTTCCAAGTAAAATTATATTCACTCTGTGCCCCAGTGGTGCAGCCTGTTAATAGTTAAAGTAATCGTTGTGCAATTCTGTTCTGTAAATAAGTACTGTAATATATGTGGATGTTACTGGTTTCAGTTGAAAGTTCTATGCTTATGTGTAGATTGCTGCGTAAGAAAGTGAAAGTAGATGACATATTTGGTGGGCGTCTAATGAAGACAGTGCAAAGACGCAAAAAAAACAGCCAGAAGTCGCTAAATTAAAGCACATTTGATGCTCATTACGGGACAAAGCCACCACAGTAACATCTTCGAGCCGTTTCTATATTACAAAAGGGCCCATCAGTGAGTTTGCGAAGTCGTGCTTTTAATTTTTCTTGGCAATCCTGTTTTTTTTTCTTTACTACGGCTCAGCCAGTCATATCAACTTTCATTTTCGGGCGGAGCGAACTACACATGGGTAGTCATGGAATGTGTGTAAGGCGAAAACTCCTTAATGTACTACGTTTGTATTGCAGAATCTGTGCACTGTAAGACGAGTGTTTTCTTAAACGGGATTCATAACATTCAATTGCGTAAAATTTACTAATAAAAATTTTTGAGTACTTGTAATTGTTACTTGTACATTTAGAAACTGTTAAGGAAGATACAATATCAAGTATTGATAGGA